TCGCCTTTGGGAGGCTGAGGTGAGTGGATTGCCTGAGCCCACAGGTTTGAGACCCGCCTGGGCAACTTGGCGAGACCTCATCTCTACAATAAATAAAAAAAAATTAGCTGGGCATGGTAGCGCACGCCTGTAGTTCCAGCTACTTGGAAGGCTGAGGCAGAAGGATTGCCACTGCACTCCAGTCTGGGCGACAGAGTGAGACTCCAACTCAAAAAAAAAAAATCCATTTGCTTCCTGGTTTTTTATAATGAATTCTGGAAATATATTAATATCTAGTATTTATTGAGAGTTTACCATGTGTCAGACTCTTTTTTTCTGAGTACTTTGCATGCATTATAATCCTCACCACAACTTTGTGATATAGATGCTATTATTGCATTTTTCAATTGAGGAACCTGAGACATAGGATGTTAAGAAATTTGCTGGGTATGGTGACTCATGCCTGTAATCCCAGCACTTTGGGAGGCCAAGGCGAGAGGATTGCCTGAGCCCAGTTGTTCAAGACCAACCTGGGCAATTTGGCAAGACCTTGTTCTACAGTAAATCAAAAAATTAGCCAGGTGTAGTGGCACATGCCTGTAGTTCTAGCTACTTGGAAGGCTGACACAGCGTATCGAGGCTGCAGTGGCCGTGAACATGCTGTACTCCAGCCTGGGTGACAGAGTGAGACTCTAATTCAAAAAAAAAAATAAAAATAAAAGAAATTTGCCCTAGGTCACACAGCTGGTAGGCAGTAGAACTGGGTTATGAACACAGGCAATATGAAGCAAACTGGGTGCTGAGATATAAAATAACGAGAGACCTGAACAAGAGTTTATGTTCACAGTCATTTTTCGATATCACCTTTGTGTAATATGTTCCCTTAGGTACCTTGTTGAAGTTTGTAAAGGCATCCTTAGCCAGATGTTTCAAGTGGATGAGAAAAAAAATCTGGGTTCAATATGTATGTGTAATCCTTTAGCTTTATGATTACTCCTCTTAGTCTCCATTTTCCCAAATTAAATTGGTGTGACTTCATCAGCAGTACCCTCTCATGCTTCAGTTATGTCAGTTCTCCATTGCAAGACCTCATCTAGCTCTATTGCAGTTCAGGATAGGACTAGATGAAGCTCAATCTCCCATTCTCCTCTCCCCCAAAACAACATAAAGTACACAGTTTTATTTA